TCATTCTAAGTTACAAAGCCAATTTAAATTTCAAGATGTTTTATGAAAGATACGCTTAGTAAGTATTTACAACTTCAATACGAGAAAAATATGAAGAATCGATTTATTTAAATAATGTGACAATTGCTTATGAAAATTAAACACTTCCCATGGAACAATAACACTATTTAGTCACCAATTACCGTAAAAAAATGAACCTAGATCCCGCTGAACCTTTATCAGAATTTATAATTAACTTTTAAGCATTAAACGTAATTAACTGCAAAATATGTATGTTAAAACGTAACCAACGTTGAAGATTATTTTTTTTTATTTTATAAATACAATTTAGGAATGACTACAGTCTATTGATGTTAAATAATGAGAATCAAAAACTTATCAATAAAAATATTATTGTTCTCGCAAAAGTATCATTGGTAGATTTATATCAATTTATTTTTGTAACATGTTTGAAACAACTATATCTTGCCACTTTCTCCTGCATTTAATTAAATACTAAATATGTTTATTAAGTATATTATGCTTTTTTGTGACGAGAGATAAAATGATTATCTAAAGCGGTTGTTATGAAAAAAAAATTATAAAAAATTGCTGTAATTATTATTGAAATTTATTAATAAAATAAATTATATTATTTAATTTAAATTATAGGAAATCGACAATTTCATAAAAGTCGTGTATTGATATGTTGGTTGTATTGTCACAAAATCGTAAGCAACATCATTATTATAACTCAAAAATATAACTTGCTACACAATCTCGTTAGGGAGGAAAAAGTATTTTTTTAAAACTGCTTTACTTTTTATTTTATTAAGTAATGCTACCCACACACCATATGTTCGCTGACTACAATATTTTCTGGTAAAAAATAAACATTAGTGTTCTGTGTATAGACATACATATTTCTTTTGCCGAAAACAATTGTAATAATTATTATTATTTCGGTTTGTTTAATACATAGCCATAAAACCTTGAATATAACCTGTTTATTACGCATTGTCAAAATTTACTTTCACAATAGATAATTATTTATACCTCCGAATCAAATAATCTCATAATTGTTTCCGCTAAATACTGTAAGCGAAAAGAATCCGACTCGTTGTTTCAATAGTCATGGATGGTTTAATATCCAACCATGTGTAACAGTAGCTATACAAATGCATACTCTTCAACGGTGTATTTATTTTTAACTGAATTATAACTAAATATGTCAAAAAAGATGTACGCGTACATAGTACATACACGCGTACATATACAAATAAGAAAAATGGGTGTGTGTGTTTACAATATAAATCCTCTATAAAGAACTTTTGTAGAAGGGAACTAAAACTATACGAATATAAATACCTACTTAAAAATAATACCGAAACCACAACTCTACAGGCCTTATGATAGTTAAATTGCATGTTTTTACAAATAAAAACATTACGTAACTTAATTAATAGTTAATATATAATTAATGGTTGTCGATATAGCAGATCTCACAAACACAGTTTTTACATGCAAAGATTTTTAAATGAATATATCAGAATCCTGATTAAATACAGCAGAATTTATTTTCTGAATAAAACAAAAAAGTATTGCCATAATCTTGTGGAGATGCCATATTTTTGGGTAAAATATAAATATAATTTTTCTTTTAAATAAAGACAATAGTCATAAGATCGTCTTTCTGTATATAATGATTGATGTACCTCACTTTTTCTGTACTTGCTTGTTTCTTTTTAGTACCTACGTATTTGTTTCACTGATGATTTTATGTAATTGTTTGTATATCTTTTCTAGTTAGGTTATGTAATTTTAAGGCGTCTAGTTTTATGCGTTGACTAAGTCACAAGATAATTTATTACCAATGACAAGTTTTTAAATTCTTTTTATTTTATACATTTTTGTAAAGTTGAATATAAAAAGTTGATACATAAATGCGTGAGGTAGCTATGGATTTAATTTATAATGTTTAATGTTATTATAAGAGTTGCCAGATGTGTGATTAACTAACATTAATGTTTACTTGACACCTAAACACTATCATAATATCGAAAAACAGCTTGCCTATTTATTGTCAATAAATATTTGCAGTCGTTTTCTTTCACATATACTCAGTTATTATTTATACGTAATATGCTAAAGATACTACTATTTACAGCTTCTACAAACCGTTAATGAATATATATAACGCATCTGTACACTATTGACATGTGTTCGATAATAAATATTTTTGCAATCGTAAGTTTCGGTGCCATACTACTCAACAACGCAATAAGCGAAATCATCTAAAAAGCCTATTTAAACGTCTAAAAGGCCTATTTGTCAGTGAAATAACTTATGCCATCTGGGCTGTGTATCACCGATATTCAATGAATTGTAAATATTTATTCTGAGGCTTAAAGCTAGAATATAAATCTATAAAATGACTAAGGAAATAAAATACGTACCAGTAACGGAAAATTGATTTATCTTTCCGAATGTCAAACAAGCCTAATAAAGGGGCAAATTCACATACATTCCTTTGCAGAATTTTATGTATGAGAACATTTATAGGATAAAATAAAGTGTTTTGGTTACGTTCATTGATTTTAGTATCAGTAACTATATTCAAACAATTTCGCTTAAAACTACTTTTTTAAAGTAAATATGAAGTTATAACCTAATCTTAACTTTTTTTACTAATCACAGTACCATTAATGTATTTATGCAATAAATAAAGAATCCAGGAGTTCACCGAATTTATCTATCTCTAATCAATATTCAATAGATATTGACGAACGGATATGGTTTTCTATTTACAAAGTATTGAACACGTTAAACATTCCAGTTACCCGGATCAATCACACTCCTGCATACGCTATTTCACTTGAGGCCGATTTTTAATACTCAAATAAAATTTATTTAAAGGGAATATAACATAAACTGAATATTACAGCTTTTACCTCTTAGATGACAATGTTGGAGTTACTTTGGCCTTAAACTTACAATTTATGCCTGTAAAACATGTTACTGCAAATTTCACACTTCAGAACAAAATAAATTTAGTCACATCTTGTTTTATGTTTTATTTACCATAATTCATACCACGCAATTTTCCAATGTAAGGATTAACTGTAAAATATTATATAATTCAACAAAATAAAACTAATATATCAATCCAACACGAAATATTGAAGAAAATAAAAACAGGTTTAACAAACTGTTTTTCCAAAAGTTTACCAAAGTGCTTTTCTCATTCCCTAATATTTTTTTTAAATAAAGCAATTTTGTATATTAAACAAACTTAATTTTTTTTATAAATAAATCAGCTTAGTCAGCAACCTAATCATCACCTAAGCTTTCAATTTCTGAGAACGTGAGCAATCGGAGTCGACATGGAGCCTTCGCTTTCAGACGGCACGGCATGGCACGGCGTGTCAAAAGATTTTTCGTTGACAAAAAATTTTCGACCCTATTTTAATGAAGTTAGCACCGACGTTCCTTTATTTCGACACGAATAAACAGAAACATCTCGCGTGACGCGCATGCATGCTGCTGCACGTCACGCGGGAAGCCACAGGATCCTTAGGCATGCCGCGAGATGCCACAGGATCCTTCGGCATATCGAAGAGTACCTTGCCACGCTATGCCACGACATGGCAAAATTTTGATTTCTAAAACTTTGTAAAACCTTGCTGCATATTAAACCAGCTGCAACACAAATGCTTTAACTCAAACGGAGAGGGACTGTTAGGATTTTACTGATAACAACACATCCTATTTCAGTCTTCGGGGGGCAAAGATCCTTAATCGAAGATGGCAGGCCGGTAGGTAAATAGACCTCTCGCTATGAAGGAAAGCTTGTCTCCAAAACCTCCGTTTAAACGATTTTGAATTTGAAAGCGTTTTACTGTGCAATTTCGTGCAAACTGTTTAACTACTCGGCATATTGCTTATATTTCCCACTCGTTTAAATATTGTTGCGTGAATAAGTCAACGTCATACACTAGCGCCATCTAGTGTCAGGAACGAGAGCGAGGGGAGCTTTGCAGAAAATGACATCACAAATCTTTTAACCGACAGCGCCTAGTCGAAACTCGAACGCTCGGTACCTTGCGCGTGTTTACTTGAACATTCTGGATATTTCTTCGCTAATTTATATAAATAGGCGCTGCCAGATGCGATCGGGGCAGTGTTGATTTGGCGAGACAAGCGAAGCTTCGGAGCGGAATAAAGCGAATTAGTGTGTTTAATTATTAGTGTTTTAAGTTTTAATTTGTGTAAAGTAAATTAAAGTGTTAATTTAGGTAATTTTATCGGCAATTTTTATTGTCACGAACCTCAAGCTGCAGCTCGTAACAATTGGTGTCAGAAGTGGGATAAAATCATGCCGATTTTACCAAAGGAGGAATCGGAGGGTGTCCGTACCCGAAGTCAACGCCAGCAGGAGACGGACCAGAGGAGATTTGGTGGTGCAACGCCGCAGACGTCGGAAGGCCAGCCACCGTGCAGGGTCATCTGCAGCACCTGACTTAGGTGCTCTGATGGTGATGCTGCAGGAGCAGACTCGCCGACAGGAGGAACAGGTCCGTCAGTTGAAAGAACAGCTGCAGAGCGGACAGGAGGAACAGGTCCGTCAGTTGAAAGAACAGCTGCAGAGTGGACAAGCGGAACAGGCCCGCCGACAGGAGGAACAGATGCTCCTCATGAAGGACCTTCACGCTACCTTCGGGAAGGAGATAAAGGAGGTGAAGGATAGGGTTGCTCAGCATGACAACCGCCTGTCGGAAGCTGAAACCCAAATCGCGAAAGCTGAAAGCCGAATTGAGAAAGCTGAAACCCGAATCGACCAAGTAAACAATCGGGTTGACAACGTAATGGCTGACATGAAGAAATCACTGGACGAACTCAAAGTTGGACATGGAGCTACAACTCCCGTAGTAGCTACAACACCTTCGCTACGTGGGTTCAAGGTGCCACCGTTCGACGGTACCTCTTCCTGGTCAGCCTACAAAATCCAGTTCGAAGCTGCTATGAAGGCGAACGGCTGGAATAAAAATCAGGCCATGACTGCTCTCACACTAGGCCTGAGTGACCAGGCCTTAACAGTTCTGGAAGCTCTCGGTGAGGAAGTGACTTATGAGCAAATCCTTGAGGCATTGGAGGCGAGATATGGCGAGGCTCACCTGGAACACGTCTTTCGTGCGCAGCTTAAAGATCGTGTGCAGCGCATCAACGAAAACCTGTAGCAGTGGGCTCTAGAAGTGAAGAAGCTGGTGCGATAAGCATACCGGTCTGTACCTGCGCTCATTGAAGGGAACCTGGTGCAGACATTCATCGACGGCATCTGCGACCTGGAAGTCAGAGCTGCTGTGAGGCTCGGGCATCGCGTCAGGGAGGTTGCAGCAGCTACAGTTCGCGACCGCAACAAAGGATACAGCCCAAGGTGCTATGGCTGTGGGGAAAAGGGCCATCTTCGATCCAGCTGCTCTAAGCGAACCCTAGAAAGGGAAGGTGAACGATCTCAGGAGGGTAGTGCGGCCAACAGCACCGCCCAGCAGCAGCAGGGAAACGAGTAAAAGCCAGAACTGCGGGGCGGGTGCTGGCTGATGTTAAAAGAGCCCCAAGGATCTCGATCTCACAAACCCATGATGGGAACAGTCTAATCATCAAGGGCGAGGTCAACGGAATGCCGTGTAAACTGACCATAGACACTGGAGCCTCTCGTACGGTTGTTAGTTCCCAACTTATAAGTCAGTTCCATGGGGACTCCGATTACAACCGAGAACGCATTAATTTGGTAACAGCCACCGGTCAGCGTATACCCGTCCGTGGAGAGAAGGAGATGGAGTTGAAGCTAGGCAACGTGATCTAGCTGCATAATGTCATCGTGGCTGATATAATGGACGACTGCATCCTAGGCCTAGACTTTATGAGGAATAATTGTTGCGAGATCGACGTTAAGCAAGGTGTTTTGAAATGTGGACAGGAGGAACTCTTTATGGAAGGTGCGTTACCAGGGAACGTGTACAGCATCAAGAAGATTGTTCTTCCGCCGAGATCGGAAACGATTGTTCCGGTTAGTCTTCCTCGAAACGCTGGGCAAGCTCACCGTTGTGTACTTGTGGAAAGGGTAAACAATGACCTTCCATGGAAAGTAGCTCGAACCTTGGTCAGGACCACTGACATCTCAGGAGTACGTGTGCTGAACCTTTGCGACCGGGAACAGATTATAGAAAAAGGCACACTGATTGGTACTTGTGAGGAAATGGATTGGTTACGTCGGTGCCAATATATATCGAGTGGGACCCCCAGCAAGGATGCAGAAACGAGAGTGACCACACTTTTGGAAGACTGTCGCAGTGTTCTCTCCCCGAACGAATTGGTCAAGACGAAGAAGTTGTTACTCAAGTACGCCGATGTATTCTCATCAAACGATGCTGACATAGGAAAGACTGGCTTAATTCAACACAAAATAAACACAGGAGAAGAATTGCCTATCCGTCAGCGGCCAAGAAGATTGCCGGTAGCACGTGAAAAGGAAGTGGAAACCATGATTGAAGGAATGGTGAAGGATGGTGTTATTGAACCTTCCTCTAGTCCATGGTGTTCACCAGTGGTGCTGGTGAAGAAGAAGGATGGCAGCATGCGGTTTTGTGTTGACTACCGCCGTCTGAACGACGTTACGAAGAAGGACAGCTATCCCTTGCCAAGAATTGATGACACGCTGGACATGCTTACAGGAGTAAAGTGGTTTAGCACGCTGGATCTAAAAAGTGGCTACTGGCAAGTTGAAATTGACACTAAGGACAAGGAGAAAACTGCGTTCTCGACGGGAAAGGGTCTGTGGCAATTTAAAGTAATGCCGTTTGGGTTGTGCAATGCTCCAGCAACGTTTGAAAGGCTGATGGAACTTGTACTTACCGGGCTAATTGGCGATGCCTGTCTGGTCTACTTGGATGACATCATCATCGTAGGCCGTACGTTTGAGGAACACCTTCAAAACCTGGAACGCGTGCTCATGAAGATTCAGAGTGCCAACCTCAAGTTGAGCCCGATGAAATGTTCCCTATTCCAACGGCAAGTTAACTTTTTGGGGTTTGTGGTATCGGAAGAAGGTATCCGCATAGATCCAGAGAAAATCGCCGCTGTCAAGGATTGGCCGGTTCCAAGAGACAAGACGCAGGTTAGAGCATTTTTGGGTTTGTGCTCCTATTACCGGCGATTTGTGAAGAACTTTGCAGATATAGCCAAACCTCTGCACAAGCTAACTGAGGAGAGGCGACATTTCTACTGGGATGAAAGTTGCAGTATCGCATTCCAGGAGCTCAAGGACCGTCTGTGCAAAACACCTATTTTGGGATACCCTGATGCAAGCAAAGAATTTATAGTTGACACAGACGCAAGTGATATAGGACTTGGCGGTGTGTTGTCACAACGGAATGGTGACCAAGAGGTCGTGATAGCGTACTTCAGCAAGTCGTTGTCAAAACCGGAAAGGAACTATTGTGTCACAAGACGCGAATTGCTCGCTGTGGTAAAGTCGTTGCAGCATTTTAGCAAATATCTTCTGGGACGAAAATTTCACTTACGAACTGACCATGCTGCACTAAAATGGCTATTGCAGTTTAAAAATCCTGAAGGACAAGTTGCGAGGTGGATTGAACTACTGCAGGAATACGACTTTGAGATCGAACATCGCAGCGGAAAATCTCACGGCAACGCAGATGCATTGTCAAGAAGACCTTGTCCTGAAGATTGCAACCATTGTACTAGGCAAGAGAGTAAGGAAGAGGTATCCGTGAGGATGCTCAGGACGGACCACCTCAGCAACTAATGGAAGGACAGCTTACAACATGCACAGCAGGAAGATCCGGACATCAAGCCGATTCTGGAATGGATAAAGGCCAGTGCTCCCAAGCCTAAGTGGAGCGACGTCTCAGCAATGAGTTCGACCACTAAAAGCTATTGGGCCCAGTGGGACAGCTTGCTGCTTCAGGATGGAGTTCTGTGCCGTAAATGGGAAAATGTTAGGGGAGACAGCTGTCATTTGCAAATGGTTGTCCCTAAAGCTAAAGTACCGGATGTTCTACAGCTGTACCATAATGATTGTTCCGGAGGCCATCTGGGAGTTAAACGAACTCTACTGAAGATCCGAGAACGGTTTTATTGGGTCCACTGTCGAAACGATGTCGAGGACTGGTGTCGCAAATGTACAAGTTGTGCGGCTGTAAAGGGACCTCAGACTCGTAGTAGAGGTGCATTGAAGTTGTACAACGTTGGTGCACCATGGGAGAGAATAGCCATTGACGTGGCGGGGCCGTTTCCGGAGAGTGAAAGCGGTAACAAGTATTTCATGGTTGTGATGGATTACTTCACAAAGTGGCCAGAAGTTTTCGCCATTCCAAATCAAGAAGCTTCAACAGTTGCAGATAAACTAGTTCATGAAGTCTTCTGTCGTTTTGGAGTACCTTTAGAGATTCACAGCGATCAAGGAAGGAATTTTGAGTCTCAAATATTCCAGGAAACTTGCCGAGTTATGGGTACTCATAAAACAAGAACGACTTCTTATCACCCGCAATCTGATGGAATGGTGGAACGATTTAATCAGACGTTGGAGAGGTACCTAGCAAAAGTTGTAGACAATCGGCAACGAGATTGGGACAAGCACATACAACCGTTTTTGTTGTCATATCGAAGCGCTGTTCACGAAAGTACAGCAGTGACACCAGCTTTCGCAAACTTTGGAAGAGAATTACGGCTGCCCGCAGACCTGATCACCGGGATACCACCTGATGCCCCACGCAGTATAACCGATTATGCAAATGACTTGCGGAACAAAATGAATGACATTTATGAGCACGTCAGACAATCGGGCCAGCAAATGTCTGAGAAAATGAAAACCCGGTACGACCGCAAAATGAACAATAAAGGGTTCAACGAAGGTTCATTAGTGTGGTTGCACAATCCAGTCCGCAGCAAAGGGAAATCTCCTAAGCTTCAAGCTAAATGGGACGCCCCGTACCGGATTGTAACCAGGATCAACGATGTGACCTACCGGATACAGAAAGGCGCAAGAGGGACTCCTAAGATCGTCCATGTGGATCGATTGGCGCGTTATTATGGGACCGATAATGCTCGGGACGAGCATGTCTTAGGAGGGGGCAGTGTTGCGTGAATAATTCAACGTCATACACTAGCGCCATCTAGTGTCAGGAACGAGAGCGCGGGGAGCTTTGCAGAAAATGACATCACAAATCTTTCAACCGACAGCGCCTAGTCGAAACTCGAACGCTCGGTACCTTGCGCGTGTTTACTTGAACATTCTGGATATTTCTTTGCTAATTTATATAAATAGGCGCTGCAAGATGCAATCGGGGCAGTGTTGATTTGGCGAGACAAGCGAAGCTTCAGAGCGGAATAAAGCGAATTAGTGTGTTTAATTATTAGTGTTTTAAGTTTTAATTTGTGTAAAGTAAATTAAAGTGTTAATTTAGGTAATTTTATCGGCAATATTTTATTGTCACGAACCTCAAGCTCGTAACAATATTATAATCCTTATTAGGATTTAGAGTGATATTACCGTTACAGTTAAAATCTATTAAAGTCCACTGCTGAACATAGGCCTTTCATATAGATTGCCACATAGGGGTTTGAATATTTGACATAGTTGCCAAGCTTGGCGAGCGGATTGGCAACCGCAGTTTTTAGTCGTTATTAGGAAAGCGCTCCTGGCCAACTCCAGATTAGTTTCCCTGTGTTGCCTGTTACAATGCCCACAGGATGGTATAAGCGATCAGGCAAGCGGATATTCTTACACCACCACTACACGGTGCTAGAGTAATATAAGCAGTTTTTAATGAGATAATATCATATATGAAAGAGGAAAATGTGGGTAATAATGGGATATTACTTAGTCTTTTTTTTAGTTATTACTTAGGTCTTTATTACATCTTAAGCATTGTTGGGTTTCACGTGCTTATGAACATTTAAGGCATCCTAATTAGCAACGATCGTATGAGCAAACGATAACTTCGCACGACGAGATTGAACACACACGTTTCTTTAGAATGTTCTATTTAAAAACGATCGTACGATAGGCTTGGAGCGAGGGTTTTTCAATGATATTTGTAATTTTCAAAGCAATATTGTCCGAGAGCCATTGATGAAATGGCGGCGTTGTGGTGTGGTGTGTACACAAAAGTACACTGTAAGGTGATTTTTTTATTTCTCCTGAAATAATAATAATAAAAATAAACAATAATAGTCCGAATAATAATTAAAATGACTGTTTATTCATTTATTTATTTATGACATGATTTCTTTGAGTTTTTCAAATAATTCGATAGCTCCTCAAGTAATATTAGTGACAGTAGGTTAAGATAGAGTAGTAGATTAGGGCTGCGAACATTTATAGTTAAGTATTCAGTTTTTTTTATTATTTTAAAAATTGATCGGACAAATCGAATACAGCAAAGATGTTATATATGTATGTACTTTAATAATGAAATTACACAAATTTAACCGCGCGTGGACTCTACGGACCGATAGCCTTTATACTCGTAGTAAATGACACAAATATATTACAGTGATTTCTCACAGACTCAATCATATTTGCACCATTTACTCAGTTCTGTCGTCTCTGATGCCCACCCGTTTCTAAACGAGGTATCTACGCCTGAATTGAGAGGCCGCCAAAGTGAGCGTCCAAACTAGGGCTTTGGACTTAAGTAATTCCATAAACTATTAACAATAATATTAAAATAAAGGACCAAAACATAATTAAGAATTTTCAATACAAATAAGAATTTTATGTCATCTCTGGCAGTGTGAGTGCTGTTAAGCCGTCGTGGCATTAGAGTATTCCGTCAACCCATCATCAGTCAACACGCTGTTGGTAAACCTAACCTAAGAAACATGGAATATAAAGTTGCATTTAAAATATGACATGATCTGTGAGATAGACTGCTTTATGTGTTACATTTATCCTTGCTGCAGTTAGCTAAAAATCAGACAAGTGCAAATAATACTCGCGTACCAAGGGTTCTGTAATAAACTTAATTATGTATGTAGAGTGTTCATCAATCCCGGAAATTGTAATTAAGGTGGGCACTGCATATTGCTCTAACGAAAACTTAAGTCGGACTTGCAATTGCGAACTTACATCAAAAAACATGTTATTCCATACATCCTCTACCGTGATAGTCATTGCTTAAACTTCAAATGTGTCTTCGTGATCGCAAAAAAATGTTATTTGCTTCATATATAATACATATATAAAAATTATGTTTGTTTGTTAGTATTTTATGCGCCGCCATACCGTTCATCAGACTGTGGTAAAACTGTCAACATATAGCTTGCACTTTCGCGAAGGTTATAGGCAAAGTTGGACCCGGTAGGTGGCGCCGCTGTAGAATAAAAACATCACCGGTGGAAAGCAGGCGTAGAGCGCTAGGTTACAAAAACAAATTAAAGGTTTTAATTTTTTTCCTTTACTCTTGCTGTGTAAGTAAAGCTTTGTTTCTTGCCAAACTTTGTGATTTGAGAGTACAAGCTCACTTATCAAAACCACAGAACATAATTGTCCGTTGTCTTTTGATTACGTGACTTAGAAGCTTGAATTTTTAACATCTACAAGGGAACTTAAAAAGTCAGACGAACCGGCTGCAAAGTGATTCCATATCAAGATTTCCATTTCTTCCTTTTTAGGTATGGAAACCTAAAAACGACAATTTAATCAACAAATACTCCAAAAAAGTATAGCTTTGCGCATGCCGTCGTGAAACGTCATCTAACATCGTTTTAATATTCTAGTTTGGCAAGCACTCGCTAAACGAAAAACGGTAACATCCCTAACACTTTGCACAAACAATCAACCGTTATCAGCCACTTTATATATACATGGAACTTATGTCCACTCTCATTTCGTACAGCATAGTGAAAGACTAAAGCAAACTTCATTCGTGTAATGACCAATTTTATTGGAACGAGTCACTGTAACAAGTTAATGAATTGTATACTAAAAGCTTCTGATATAATAAAAAAATATCACACAATATAAAAATGGGAAATAATGTTTTTTTTATTATAATGGCTGCATCTTTTGTAACCATCGCAGCGTTCGCAGTTTATGAAGAAAATATTGATGATAAAGAATTTGATGTCGATTTGGAAGAGGTAACGGACAGAAAGGGAAAAATACGTAAGTAGAAACAGTGCAGTATATTGTTTACACTTTAATAATTACTAATATTTTCAAACATACCAATTAAGTTTCACTTAAAACATTTTATAAACTTGTGATTAAAACGTATACACCTATTATACTCGTATAATCATATTTTTGTTAATTTTACCCAAATATTTTTAAATAGCTTAAATATTTTCTGGAACACCGTTTATAACAGCGATAATTTAAATGCACATTTGCGAACTCCTCCGTAAATAGATAAAATAGTTACTGTAGCTAGTAGCATTAAAAACACAATTTTACAAAAACAAAATTACTTTCTACTAATCAATACGAGCAATAGCGACTGAATTCTGCGACGTTGTTTTCATACCTTTTTACACGCTTCATATTCGCTTGACCTGTATGTAACACCTATATATTATGATGTAATGGAATTTTAGAAGTCAGTTTGCACCCACTTCCAGAACTTTGTATAATGTGAAATTTTGCCGACCCACCTATATATAAGTTCATATATGATCCTATATATATATATATATATATATATATATATATATATATATATATAGATTATATATATATATAATATATATATATAATATTAGTATTATATAACCTATAAAGGTTAAAACCTATATATATATATATATGCAAGCTATTAAAATTCATATACTATTATTCTATCACATATAATAAATGAAAACTCGGTCATTACCAGTTCAAAACGTTTTCCGAAATAGTTAATTTTGTTCTTATTACAAAATTAAAAAGTAACTTTTTAAGTAAGATAAATACTATATTATCTAATTTATTACATAAAAATTAATGTTTGTTTATTCGTTTTTTATAAGCTGTCATACCGTTCATTAGATTGCGGATAAAACTTTGTCAACTTTTTGCTTGCACTTGCAAGAAGGTTATAGGCATAGTACAATTAAATAATCACTATTTTTCGTGTAAAACAGCGCAATAAATGAAATCGTTATTACTACATTTACTTACATTAAAACGTTAAAAATACTTCATAAAAAATATTTTGTAACAAAATATTTTTATGAAGTTTTTCACTTTTATTGTACAGTCTTACGACTAACAGTTTTTTTTTAATGTTGTACGATAATAAAACTTTACTGAGTTGCTGATATCATCTATAATCTTTAAAGTAACGCTAACCTGTAAAAAATTTGATACTTTTGTGCAGTTTGTTGATGATATAGAAGTCTGCTACATAAAAATCTCTTTAAAGGCTTTCTTTAATGCTCTAAAAGTGATGTCTGCCTTCTGCCTAGAGAATAATATATAGAAAACGAAGGGTCTCTAGATTTTTCTCTGCTATTTTCGTTAACGTCTGTTGTGCAGTATGTAACCGGACGCTATTATAAAGAAGCAATTGCGAAGAGTAGTTCACCAATCTTGGTTGAGTGCCAGAATTCCTTTCTCCATCCACCATTATTTTCAATTCTGAACAATAACAGACAGACACATTTTACGTGGTATAGCCACGCTGCAGCTATATTATTGTTATAGCATGAATGGGTCGGTTCGACCGGGGTAGGACCACACTCTCACAGAATACCAGCGTAAAATAGCAGTGTAATGCTGCTGTGTTTCGCATGGTGATTGTAGAGAACCGGAGACCCTTTTTACTGGAAACGAGGCATTCCATCTTAGTCCTCCGAGGTGACAACACACTCGCATTTTGATTCTTAATTGAGGATAAATGTGGATATCTATGTACAACATCATCCACTTACCATCAGGTGGACTGTGTGCTCTTTTGTCACCCAATGCTATAAATAAAACCTATCTAAAGTTCTGGAAGTCCATGTTCACAAATCAAATCTCTATGTTCTTAACCAAACGCAACCTGCGGAATAAATGCCCAATACTATAAAAGAAAGCAACTATGGCACTAGAAGGCAAGAAGCTACATATAGTGAATAACATCAACAAAAGATCACCAAACTCCCACTGTAGACTTCTTCACCTGGATGGTTAGACCATTGTATTTTTAACCAACGCTTGCGATTATCGTATAAGATCTACTCCTTGTCGTCGGAAATTCCCAACTTTCTATACCGATTCAGCAATATGATACAATGAGGGCCTTCCGCTTTACGTCACTTAGTCCGTGATTCGTGAGGTACCTATTAGTCATGCCACTTTATTTTACACACACATTTGATTCAAGCAATCTTCTTACACCTACAAATTACATCTAAAAACTATGCTAGACCAGCTATAATTCGAACGAATCAGCTTATACAAAATCAAATCGTTCCTTCTTCAAAAAAAAAAGTGATAGAACCAATAACACACTATTTCTTCGTTAGTAGTGTTAAGTGTTTCCTAGTCGGAACTCAAATTAAACAAAAAAAAAACACAAATTTTCTTAGAAACCATGATTATAAAAACTACAAGATTGCAGAAAAGTCAAAGACCAAACAAACAAATACCTAAATTATAGATTTTAAAAGATAAATAACATAACTTAAATATAAAAATTATTCAAGTGGCCACTTCAACAAAACGGTAATTTCATAGGTAAATATTTCTAAGTATGTAAAGAATTCAGTTTACACACACTTACGGACGTCGGAATGACAGTACAATTGTTTATTGATTAAGACCCAGTATTCTCACTAGACTGATGATCAATCCGTGTTGTTCATTTTTTTTTTTTACTTTAATAACCGTGTTGCTTTGAGTCTAAACGCCCGGATATTCACAAAAGAAAACTTACTAAACTACGTTATACATAACTAATAATTTTTGAATGAAACAATCTGCTACCAAACTCATTTAATCTAAATTTGACTTCAAACAGAAACACAAATATGAAATCGGATTTTTATCGTAAAACTGAATTACGTAATTTTTATTAGTCCACCTCTAGATATGGACTTTTTTTCTCTAAGATGATATCCCTTTATTACCACCACTTCTCGATTACTGGAAGGCTCGCCGAACTTTATTCCTTAATAAAAAAAAGCTTACGTAACCTATTAATCGGAAGTCGATGGTCGACCCAGTATCAAGTTATGAAAGCTATGTATGAAAAGAAAATCGTAGCAGGCCCTCACGACAGAGACATGTGGTGAGGTCCACAAAACACGATAGTATACACCCTAATTTATACACTCCAGCTTGATTGATGTAATTAATAGAATCAGGCGTTACTTTGCGGATATCCATTATAATAAAAAATAAAAATATAAATTTTTTCGCAACCCCACGGAGTTAGTGCATGCAATTGAGGGAGAGCGGGAGGTGCTCTTCAATCCAGGTAAGACACATCATTGTATTTATTTAGCGGAAGGTTGCGAAAAAATTTATATTTTTATTTTTTATTGATTGATGTGATAAGATCATAGATTATTGTACCTATTTTCATTTCATCATTAATTGTATATTATAATCTGTACATACCACCTCAGCTGTATAAATAATAATTTTTTCATTTATCATGATAATGCAATAAATTTACAAAGCATGTACCTACTTTTCAGTGTTCCCTTTCGTAAGCATAGTTCGCTTCGCAAACACTGATTGCTCGAGTGCTAACACTATGAATGGTACTTGCTTGGCGCGCAGAGAATGCAATAATCTTAACGGGACCATCACAGGAACGTGCGCTTCTAGAAGAGGGAGGTGTTGCATCGGTAAGTGGTAGCAAAACAAAAACCCTTTATAAATAAATAATGAACGAGATATCTTTACATATGTATTGTGATCGTGAAAAACAGAAAAGACACCACAAGAGGCCCAGTTGGGGGTCCGAAAAAATAACGCCGTGTAAACATATTTACGTTGATATATATACGTATATACCGTTGTTACAAACTATGCCTCTTTATCACATGGAGTTCGGTTCGCTTCATTATCAATGAAATTATTGGTTGCAACTTTAAGTGCTTGTACTTGATCATCATAAATCATAAGGAAATCTACATGCCTGAAAAATATTTAATAGAGGACCTGTGAAGTCTGACAATACGCATTGAAACAGCGCGGCTACCACAGAAATCGTAATAATAATATTACGATTTGAAAGGCGACTGCCTTTTTTGCCCTAAAACTCTCAGAAATGAAGAGGAGGCGTGCGTCAAGCAGTGGGACGTATGTATTACTTTAAGCTAAGCTTTTCCATCTTTAGCTAGATCAACAATAATAATCAAGCTCCAGCTTTTAGACTATGAACAAGGTCGCGGGCAATAGTTGTATAACGATAATAGTCGAAAGAACACAATTTTGTAAATCTCGTTAGGATATTACGAGTTTATAAAATATGGAATACAATCATACGCCTGTGATTAAATCTTATTAATTTCGGATTATTCTCTTTAAAGGTATTATACAATTTTTTTGACTCTACATACCCTTTTTTTGTATTGTATAATGTTACTTTTCTCGACTTCTTCTTACTACCTTTTGCACAAGTGATGAAAGAAGCACTATTGGGCACAATTGGTCAATTGTGAAACAGTGTAGAGAAAAGACCAACGACATTCACATCGGCTGCGTTTGGCAGAAAAAAGCGCTAGCAAGCGCTTGTAAGCAAAATGGCAATAGTAAGCGGTAAGCGCTGTCAAATCGTAAGTAGCTATTTTCCTCTAGGACACGAAGTTAGCTTTAACCGGGGAACCTAACCTAATTTAGTGTGGTTTTACAGTGACGCTTCCGCCAGCGCGGTTGGTAAGCGCGGCCCGTAAATGCGCGGATGACCCGCTCGAAACTATAAAACGAGCTTAGAGTCGCGCGGTTTCGTATACTGTTGAAACGCGCGGCTGAATGCCGCCAGCGCGAGCCATCCGCGCGTTTTGGTTCCACTATGTAACTATGCAAGAGACGCAACGCTCGTGGCCCGCGACGCTTACCAACCGCGCTGGCGAAAGCGACACTTTTTTTTTTTTTGCGCCCGAAGCATTTAAAGGGCTACCCTATACGTAGGGAGGCGGAAAATGCATTACGCATACCACGATAGCCGGTCTATCGTGGTTATGAGGGGCTCACTGTCCTACCGGGGACCCTAAGTGATACCCTCTAAAAACCGCCTTTGGGGACAGGCAACCGGCTGATTAAGCTCTATTGTGCCTTATCATGAGCGACCCTCTTTTGGGAAAAGAGGGCGCAGGCGGCTAAGAGCCGCTGAGGGAGTGCCTACGAAGGCAAATTAAAGTTGGTTAATACAATAATTTAGTTTAATTAGAGTTGGCCTGAGCCGCCAGGAGACAGTTCAGGTCGTTTGACAGTTTATTAGGCGGGTCCGAGAGAGAGTTTCTCGGCCTGCGGACACGATAGCGAGAGGGCGGTGGGGCTGCATAAGAAGCTGCCTCACGAATTAATTGATTTGGGTGCGACTCTGAGACTTTGAAGAAGTTCTCAGAGAGTTTTTTAAGGAATTGTTGAATTGTTGGGAGCTCTAAGTCCCGATGAAGGTCGGCATTACGGACGTACCAAGGTGCGTTCGCAGCTCGACGGCAGAAGAGGTTCTGAACTATTTGGAGTTCATTTATAATGTTAGGGTTTGCGTGGGCAAAGACGGGGCCCGCGTAGGACATGACTGGTCGTATACAGACCTTGTAAAGGGTACGCTTGTTTCGAAGGGACATTTTACTGTGTCGGCCCAACATACTGTTGAGCCTACTCAGATAAAACCGTGCGTGACGGGTTACTCTTTTGACGTGGGGCCTGAAAGTAAGCCCTGTGTCTAGAGTGACACCTAAATATTTGGCGGTCGTATGCCAGGGGACAGGGGTCCCTAGCATACGTATTGGTGGAGTGTTTTTGAGACGGCGTCGTTTATAATCGAAGTGAACGGCGGAGCTCTTCTCCGGGTTCACATCGATGCGCCATTTTTTGAACCAAGCTCCTAGGTCATCAACTGACTTTTGGATCTTGTTCCGTATGAAGGGTAGTGAGACACCTTTGCAGTAGATGGCAGTGTCGTCTGCGAAGAGGGAGAGTTGAACACCTTTCGACGGGATGGGAATGTCGTTGGTGAACAGGATGTACAGCAGAGGAGCAAGTACTGAGCCCTGAGGGACACCAGCCTTGATAGTTCGCTGTGAAGAAAGCGTGCCTTCGTGTCTAAAACGAAAGGTACGATGTTTTAAATAGGAGGCCACGAGACGAACTAGACGATCGGGGAGACCTATTTTGTATAGCTTGTAGATGAGGCCTGTGTGCTAGACTCTATCGAAAGCTTTAGCTATATCGAAAAAGACCGCGATGGTCTTATGACGACGAGGATAGAAACCGCTGAGGATATATTCCACAATGCGGTGAACTTGTTGGGGACATGAGTGTTTGGCTCGGAAACCGAATTGATGGGGAATGATAAGAGGGTCGCCGTCTGTGGGAAACAGATAGCGCCTCATACGCGCTTGGATGACTCTTTCGAAGAGCTTGCCCATTGCCTTGAGGAGGCTAATGGGGCGATGGCTGGAGGGGGGAAAGCGTCACTGTAAAACCACACTTAAATATGTTTGTAAAGTATTCATATTAAAAACTTACCAATCATGAATTTTAATAACATGTTTAATATGTTTATTCATGTCATTATAATTATTACGTGATACTAATATTGCACAAAATAACTTATAAACTCTACTTCAAAACCATTGAAGTAATATGTACTTATATACGTACTGGAACAGCTATCTCAAACAAAACACGTGCGCTACTCTGTGTTCGCGCGGTTGTTTTTTTATCATAGAATAAACATAGGTAGAATGATCCGTAGGTAATAGTAGATTATATTGTTAAATAGTTAAATTATATCGAGAACAATATTTAAATTTTGTCATTTATTTTTTATATTATATTTGCTTATTTAATATAATATTACATAATATTATATCACAATTACATTTTAATGATATTTTATATGAATATTTTAAAAGGTATCTAAGTCAAATATAAAAAACATACCAAATGTATGTTTAACAAAACTTATTAACATAACATTTAAATTACAAATATATTTATTTAAATTAGAATAAAAGTCGTTCATACATGCTAGGCACGCGAGAGTTAAAAATGGACGAATTTATACCACTTTGACTTTGATATGGAAACCTAAAAATAAAATAAAAGAATAATGAGCAGATTTAAACATGAAAAATTTAGCCAAATCTTAATAACTTATATAAAAAAACGTGTATAATAATATCACCCACAAAAATGTCGCATCTCAACATATTAATTTAATAATCTATATTCCGTAACACGAGATTTCGTCTTAGGAGCTACAAGCGTCTAGCGAGTGACTGATTAAAGTGCGGTATATGCACCGCAGTTGAGTAGAACACAGTAGCTGAATGCAGTGTCGCCTCTAGTACGTTGTACATAATAGCTCAATGTTCAAAACAAACAAATGAAATAAGCAAAATGGCGGATTGTGTCAGCGCTACTGAAGTTAGCAAACGTGTCCTGGCCGAAAACTGTTTAGTTTCGCCATTTTACTTACAAGCGCTTGCTTGCAATGCGCTTTTATCTGCCAAACGCAGCCATCGATTCGTAATAACTAGGTGTATTCTAACAGAACCCTGTAACTGTAATTTCATAAAATTATGACAACAACAGTCGACAACGATTAAATTTTAAAATTCTAGTACAGATTCTGTTTTTTATTAGTACCTAAACTTATCAAAACTAACAATCCAAATAAATGAATCCAGTTTTATATCGCTAAAACAGCAAATCATCATCACAATGCAATTTGAAAAAGTGAAATAATATTCGCATTAATTTGCCGCCACCTAGGTATGGTATCACTATTTTTTTGTTTTTTTTTTTAAATCTAACTTATGCCAAGGTTGCGTTAGTTTTTAGGCCTATTTCTGTTATAGTCGTTTATATTTATTATTAATATTGTCTATAAGTAATTAAATAAGTACATAATATCGGGCGGGTAAGTCGTAATATAATATCTTATAAATATTATGTCAGCTGTAACACTGGGGAGTAAACGTTTCCCTCGGGGATTCCCTTATTATCGATCCACGCTCTTATTATCGATAACCGATTTAATATAATGTGGTCAAACGATATGCTGGCAAACGTTTAAGAAAAGGTAGTTCCGTTGTTTACTTCTGGAACATCAATTATTTCGTTTAAATGTTAATGCTGTAGGTAATAAATAGGTAGGTGTCACATGCAGTTGATTAAAATACCAACTATATTATTTATTCTGTGAAAATATATAAATGCAGGAAATGTATATCTAATATATAAAAATTAATGTTTGTTTGTCCGTATTTTATACGATGCCACAGCGTTGATCAGATTGAGGTAATACTTTGTCAACTTATTGTTTGCACTTGTGCGAAGGTTGTAGGCATAGTACAATTAACTTGCTCTAGATGTCGCGCATATCGTACCGACAATTTATTCGAAATTTATAGATCAGTGATTCCAAAGTGGTCTATATCGACCCCTAGGGGTCTATGCAGTGGCGTAGCTACCTTGGGATGCACCCGGTGCGGAAGTTGGTGGTGTCACCCCATCGAAAGTAAAAAGCAATAAATTTTATATGATAAAGGACATGGATGATTTATTATTTATAGTATTGAAGAAATAACAAAATACAATAACAACTAAGACAAAAGAAATTTTTATACAATTAAAATTTCTTTTTTCTAACTTTGACAGCTGCAAA